TATAGGAACTCCTAAATAGAATAACAAAATACCCATTGACAAGAAAAAAATCATTTAAGAGTCTCAACCATAAACAAAATTACCAGCCTCAGATACTGAAGGCAAAGACCACCATTGGACAAAGGTTTACAGACACCCTTCCATAGCGTCACATAAAATCATTTATTCTAAATCCATTCACTCCAAAAGGAGTCACCTTGTAAGTTCTTGAATTGCGCGAGCACATCTATGGTAAGTATATTTGATTTAATGGTTTCAACTTGCAAGTATAGCCTAGCTTAATAAGGCTGATTCTTCAGCCAAATGATAAACTTTCTCCCTGTCCACAGCAACAGCATGCCTCTATCTGCCCTCTCAAGTAATCATGCCCAAAGCGATTCCTCAATCAACCATTACGAAAGGGGAGCTTCTCAACCACCCCTTCCATCCATTTTGATCTGGCATCCATAATCTCATTATTGGTAGCCTTGAATCCCATTTAATGAACTATTCAACTTACTGGCCAGAGGATTGTTAGAACATCTAAGAACATATCTATGGTTAAGATGTTCAAGAATCAACATTCACTAAAGAAATGGTGCCACCTACAGACTACAGATAGTTGCCACGACCATGGGCACAGAAAACACTGCCCCACTTCGGCAACAATATCAGTTCCATACCTCTGCCAGGAGAAAAGTATACGTAGAAGTTCATAGAGAGGAACCTAACATATGGTGCTGGATCAATGCACTAAACCATTATAAGACTTAATTTTCCAAAAACTTTGTTGCCACACTTATGGCTTCATCATGTTACATATTTGTTAAGGAGTTTCAATGAATGGAATAGAAGAAACTCCCTGAAGTATGTCTTAGTTATGGGGAGGGTCTTCCCTAGGGGATGGTCACACTACAGGAACATAGTCCCGAATTCCCGGAGATTCTCCTGGAGAACCTGCTTCTGAATACATGGGATCGTTATCCCACTGAGCATGGGTCTATAATCCTTAGTCATTAGAGGAATAACCATATGAATTTTTCCTTTTCTAAATTGATATATGATTACTTGATTAGTAAAATCCGCAATCATAAAGATCACTACAGTCGTTGAAAGGTTGATGCTTCTTTCATGCCAACTTTTTTCTTACAGATAATTGGGTTCTAACCAAGTTTTAAAAACTCAGCTCAGGCTCGGGACTCGGGCTCTGCCCAAACCGAGTTACTTAGGTGCACCGAAGTGGACTCACCTGAGGGTATAGGGCAAAAAGGACCAAAACAAAAGTCCTACCAAATTAAAAATATCAATAAATTGTTAACAATCAAATCAAAAGGTAAAAATCAAACTAAAATAACATCAAAAGACCAAATAAGATGGAAAAATAAGACAAATCATGGATACTGAAAGAAATGATCTATAACTGGAGACATTTCAGAAGAAAACAAAAAGAGGAATATGTAAAAATAGGGTAAATGAAAGAAACACTCGAAAAACATCATCAAAAACCCCAATATTACATATAAAATTTAACATGATTTTTTATGACTTTTTATTTTCTAAATATCGGCTTACTTAGCTCGGTAAGGGGCCAAGTCCGAGTAACTTACCCAATTCCAAGTGCAGTTCGCCAAGTCCCTAAAAACTGGCTCCAACCTACAATGACAAATTTGCAGCAAGAAGACACCTCCAGTTAAGATATGGCTCAAAACTCAATACCCATGTAGCATTCACTCTTTATTTGGAATGTACCATTATAACATTTCCCATACTGTTCTGTACATTAAATGCCTCCTTTGCTTAGGTCCATTGATCCTTTTCAAGCTAGAAGTTGTAAATTTTGATAAAAGCAAAAGATGCTAAAGAGAAGGAAAAATATTGGGAAGAGCTTGTTTTTTCAGAAAGGACTAATGGTGCCGTAAAATGTGTGAGGAGTAAAAGATGTTAAAGAAAAGGAAAGATATTTGGGAGAGGAAAGAGGGAAAAGGACGAGGAAGGACAATAAGATCTTATTCTTTTCTCATTTGCTTGTACTTGGGTGTTCAACTTAAACCTCATTACTAACAATCTATACTACTACATGCTTAAAAACTTAATACCTTTAATTCGTTAACCATCTAATTTAATAGCTTACGGCTGCTCTGAAGGGCGTTAAATTATATACGTCCGATACATCATGTGTCACTCTAGAAGTTCTATTTTATCTAAGTTATATATTTTGCCTTTTTTATATTGAAAAGTATAAAATGAGACCATTTACCTTTGGTACAAGGTGGTCACATTTATCCTGGCCATTGGATGTGAAATTGGGTGGCTACAATTATTCCATTGACCAAGCTCAAACTTCAAAAGAAAATTTCTTGACCTTTGTGACACATCCAAGCTATCAAATTTCACATCGGATCGTTGTAAGTACTTGTGACTACCTTGTATCAAACTTAAACAGTCTCATTGTATACAATCCTTTTATATTTATAAATCACCTGATACAATGAAAGAGCAAATGAACCAGCTGTACAACAGCCTATAGCGACAAACTAGAAGTCATAGATGATGGACCTACAACATACATCACACTGATCCATCACTCATCATATTACTCCTCGATTAAAATCTCACACTATTACAGGTAACTGAATTCTACAATCACAGAAGAATCTTTATTTTTAATTCTAAATCATAAACGAATGTCAAAGTCATGCTTTCATACTTTGAAGAAGTGTCATAGTGCTCAAAGAAGAATAAGATGTAAGTGTGTGTGTGTGGGGCTCAATACATCCAAGGATAAAATGCAGAAAATTTGTGAAGTATCCAAAGATCCCAACAGAAGATTATCTCAGCATTCACATTATTCATACAAAGGGAAAAGAAAAACAGTAATATGATACAGAACGCATGTAGGATATATCAACATTGGTACAGCAGCAAGGAACCATGGCCATAAGATCTCTGTGATTTCAGATAAAATATAAAATCTAGGAGCCAAAAAACCTATGGAAAGAAAGCCTAAAAAAGATTTAGTTATCAAAGCGGAAAAAAGCCCAAACACTTGAAAATAAAAGGATATTCTTTTCGACGGCCTTTCTCACTAGCTCGATCCCTTAAATGACTAAGTCGCAATATCTCTGTCTCAAACCACTGCATCAAGAGAGGGGTGATCTCACACATAAGTTACTTTAGATAAGGGAACCTTCAACGATGATTAACAGACATGCCAAATGACAAGCAAGAAACACACTAGCAAGAAGAGTAGCATGTGCTTGCCAGAGCTAAAGCAAATAACAAAACCAAACTACCATAATAAGGCACAACAACGTATATACTTACATCATTGACTTTGACAGCCTGGATAGCCCTAGCTCTCTCTTGAATCTCACCCTACAAAAAACCGACAGGTACATGAATGTGACTTAAGTTCAAAGAAAACAATGAATTCTTGAACTGCAATCAAACTCAGAGTTACAAATTACTCATAGGATTACCACTGTCAGCCTACTAAGCAGTCCACACTTTATACTTTGGCGCAATCTCTTGCACTCCTCCTGCAAAATACATCTACCATTAGCATATGTTCGTTGAATAAAAGGTTCCCACTCAATATAGAGCATGGCGGAATGCAACATTTACAAAATCTCTTGAACATAATATTACACTCCAAGGTTTCAAAAAATGCTAGACAGCCAGCTTGGCGCAAGCGCCCAGAACCTCAGGCGCCCCATTGTACAAATTATTTAGATATATACATATATGTGCAGCCCAAACGCATATATTTATGTCAATTTTGTAATTTATTGCATTTCAAAATATTGCAACATACTTTTTTATATACAAACATATGACATATCGCATGTTGAGAATGAACTTATTCAAAATTTCAAAATTCAAACCAAACAAAACATTTAAAAGTCTAATAGGCTATGTAATAGTAATAGTCTGATAGTCTCCAACTCTACAATTCTCCATATTCCATAATAACATGGACTCCAAGTCTCCAACTCTCCAAGTCCTCAACAAACTTACAAAAGTATAAAACCACACAACAAAATAGTCCAAAAAGTGAAAAATCTGTCTAACATCCAAATGTCTAAAGTCAAAACCAATATGGTGCAATAAAGATACTACTTTAAAATTCGTAATCATAATCATCATCGATATCACTTGCATCTGCATTGGACGAGTTTGAGGGTTTATGGAAGTGTTTTTTAAACTTTGGGGGGTTGAAAATAACCGTCATAACATATTTATACCTTTTTTGGGATCAAAATTACCCCCTTTACCCTTTTGGGCAACTTTAAAATTCGTAAAAAGGCCCATATATCTAGGCACCCGCCCAAAACTAGGTGTTGGGTGCCCTACCAGGTACAGCCACCAGAACGAGGCACGCAAGCCTAGGTGTGCAGTCTAAGGGATCTTGGGCGTCTAGGTGCCGGGCGGACCCTTTTTTTAAACCTTATTACACTCTACATGCCTCTACCATTAATCATATACAATTCCAGGTCAACCAATCCATACAATTCAAGCCTATAAATTTGTCAGTGACAGGTAGAGGTCTCCCCTGAGGTTTAGGACCAAAAAGACCTTCCATCATGCGGTTTAGGACAACTTGGACCATAAGCTAGGTAAGATTATTCCGATCCTTCAACAATCTCTCAAGAAGGCAACTAAGGGCGGGATTATTGAAGCTTCCGTTCCTGAATAATTTGTCAACTGCCCCTATTTCCAATATGAGAACATACCCAACCTACAGAAAGCAATGAAGTATGAATTCTCAACTTTATGTTAAGGTGCTTTTGTTAGGTGTCAGAATAGATAGTGAACCTTGAATTGCAAGTGTTAATCGGTAGCCCACTGACCATCTCTCCGTCCCAATCTACCTTCATCACAGATAGGCAGATCCTAGATGGGGCAGTGGTAGCACATGAGTGCCTCCATTCCAAGTACTTATCCAAGAGGCCAGGCTTAATTTTCAAAATCGATTGGGAAAAAGCTTATGACCATGTTGGTCATTATTGGATGAGACAATGGCCAGAATGGGTTTTGGTAACCTTTGGAGAAAATGGATGAAAGGCTGTATTTCCCACCCTCATTCCCTAAAGGGTTTTTCCCTTCCTCGAGGGGGCTTCGCCAAGGGGACCCTCTACTCCCCTTTCTCTTCGCAATCGTTGCAGAGGTCTTTAGCAGATCCATCTCTCACCTCTACCCGGGAGGCCTTCTTACAGCCTTCCAATGTACCCACAAGGTCCTTCGATGTCACACCTGCAGTATGCAGACGACACCTTAGTCTTCCTTGACGCTACTCCAGATGAAGTTGAGAACCTTAGGCTATTCCTCAAATGTTTCGAGACTACCACTGGCTTCAAAGTTAACATGGATATATCAAATATGATGGGGTGGGTCTAACTACTCAAGAGATAAGGGCCCTTATTCCTTCTGGGGATGGTAAAGTAGAGGACTTCCCCAACACCTATTTGGGTATACCTTTGGGCTTGGGAAAGCCGAAAAAGAGGCAATGCTCAAATCATTGACAGAGTGCACAGTCGTCTGGCTGGCTGGAAAGGGAGATATCTCACTCTGGCCAATCACTCAACGCTAGTCACAGCAACACTAGCCAACACCCCGGTCTATTTAATGTCCATCTTCTACATGCCGGCTTCGGTGGCTAACAAGCTGGACTAGCTCATGAGAAGCTTTCTATGGTCTGGTCAGGCAGAAAAAACTAGACATCACCTCGTCTCATGGGATATTGTCCGTTTACCCAAATCCCAAGGTGGTCTAGGTATTAGAGACCTGAGAAAACACATCCTGGCCAGGGAAATGGTGGTGGAGATTGGCCACCCAACCTAACTCTCTTTGGGCACAAGTCATTCGTAACAAATATAGGATTGCAGAACACAAGTGGGTGCCCAAGGGACTATCTCCACCACCTCTCTTCAATCAATCTATCTGCTTCCATCCTAAAGAAGGCACTAGAGTGCGCTTTTGATCCGACCTCTAGATGCCTCTACCATGAAAGTTGATGGTGTGTCATGTGGCACTTAGGAAGCAGCTACATGGCTCTACCATTAATCATATATAGTTCCATCTCAATCAATCCATACAATTCAAGCTTATAAATTTGTCATTAACAGCGTAGAAGTGTCCCCAAAGCAAGCCAAGCATAACTTATAAAGTGGAACTGAAAAGACCTTCCATCATGTCATTTAGGACAACTTCGACCATAAGCTAGGCGCAAGTTTATTACGATCCTTCAACAATATCTCAGGAGGGCAACTAAAGCCGGGATTATTGAAGCTTCCGTTCCTGAATAATTTGTCAACCGTCCCCATTTCCAATATGAGAACATACCCAACCTACAGAAAACAAGGGAGCATGAATTCTCAACTTTATGTTAAGGTGCTTTTGTTAGGTGCTAGGATAGATTGTGAACCTTGAAGTGCAAGTGTTAATGGGCAGAAAGCATGTCTTCCAGCCTAGCACATTCCTATGTTAAAGTTGATAGTGTGTCAAGAGGCACTTAGGAAGTAGCTTCAATAGGTCCACGTTTTTTCCAAAGAGGGCCAGGCAGAAAGTGGACGGTAGAAGAGAAGATGCACCCAGAAGGCCACCTTGCTCAAATCTACACTGGGCACATGCAGCAGGATTATAATTTTATTGCTTCATTTTCTTTTTCTTTTTTTCTTTTTAATGTATAATAGTTCCCTCTTCAATATGCTGGCACAATGAAAACAAAGCCACACATGCAATCACTTCAATAAATAAGATGAGGATTTATCAGGTGAATAGAAAGAGATGCGTAGGCCCAAAATGGCGTAAGCTAATGGTGTCTATGAAAGGTGGACAATATGATCCGAGCAAGTATACGCGGTTTAAAATTTTTCTCTCTTTTCTTTGTTTATAACGCCTAGATCACTTACAAGTGTTCAAATTACAACTTTTAATTCAAGAAATGAAGAAAATAATGCCAAGGATTCTCACTTGCATGCCCCTTACAAAAGTAACATTCAACTCATAAATCAGAAAATTACATAGCACATAATTGAGATCAAGAAAGTATGGAAAGATGGAATACGAAGTACCTTGCCATGGGTTACCCCCAAGGACTTCCAACACCCCACTCCGGGTCTCCTTCACATAGGGCGCAGGGGATCATGGTCTTAACCTAGTTTCATAACGTGAGAAGCCTAGAAGTTCTAAGCAAGAAAAGATTGAATTCTAGACTCTGGACAATGCTAGAAGTTCTAAGCAAGAAAACATTTGAAGTTCTATATTATTTCTAAGCTTGAATTCTAGACTCCATATATTGAGTATGATTACCCAGGGCTCCCATATTATTCGGATCGATGTCTTTGACAGCCATACCGTAACAATGGTCATGGTGTATTTAGTCCCCTTTAACGTAGCTCACTACAATTAATAAAAAATAAGGTTGAGCTCCCTTAGGTATCTACTTTCTTGGAGTTTCAAGAACTCCAAGAAAACAAGAAGTTTCTCATGCTTATTTTGAGCACGAAACAATGAACGACACCTTCTAACTAGAAACGAGTCTTTAAGATGTCGACCTTGCGCTCTTAGAGCATTGTACGCTTTGATGCATTATTGAAAAACCCTTCAACATCAAGGTCTATTGAAAGTGAGAAACCAAACTAATATGTTGTATGAGTTTTTCGTGTATCTTTTGATGATGAAAGAAAGATATGAATCTTCTCACTAAAACGAGTCTATGTGATGTGGACCTTGAGTTTCTAGTTTGCCATGTGATTCGAAGCTTTAATGAAAACCCCTTTCAACGTGGGTTTATCAGAAGTGAGAAACAATTTCTAATTTCGTGAGGAGGATGATGAACAGGTAAAGTACTTACCATTGATACCAGCAAGGCTTAAGTTGAAAGTTGAGGATTTTAGTCGACACTTACTTGCAAAGGACAATACTATCGTACTTTGCTAATAAATCAATAAATCTAGAAATTTTCATTTAAATATTGGTTTTGATTTTATTTTATTTTATTGTTTGAAATTTTGATTTTGAATTATTAGAAATTTGAATCCATGTTGATTGAAACATCGCCCGGTACATCTACGAACCCGGGTTTTGACACTGTGGATCTAGCTTCCAAAAAACATCAATTCGCTACTCTTAAAAATTGGGGTCAAGTTCTCATATATGTTGAATCCCGGTCTTGTGCATCTATGAATCGCAAATTTTATGAGATGAAATTTACATTCCCAACTTTCAGAAATCAGGATTCAAAAAATATTTGGAGCGAGATTCGATAAATTTGGAATCTTGATTCTTATCTATCAAGAATTGCGATTCACCCTGGGAGAATCACGATTTGGAAACGAAATCAACACATTTACATTCCAACAAATAATAGAGCTGATGAAATTGTTAGGCACAAGTGATCAAATTTACTTGAGGACAAAAAATAATTTTTAACAAAAACAAATGTTTCTTAAAATATTTAAAAAATAAAGGGCCTCCTCTTTTACCTTTTCTTTGTTACTCCCCTTTAAAATAGTTTTAAAGGGAAACAATAAAATAA